CAAGATTTGAATTAAATAGAAAACAGTTTTTAGTCTTTTGATTGTTATTTTTTTATTGAATCATAAAGTACATAGGATAGGGTTATTTGTGGAATAACACATCGGGCAAATGGCCTCCACGGCTTTGCATGCACATACGCACTCGTTTGTCGAAATTTTCCATGACCATTTTGCATAAATGTGGCTGAATTTCGTTGATGCAGCGTTGAATCTCCTCCTTTAATGCACGGGTGGTTGTGGGCTTGTTGACATAGACCTGTGATTTCAAATAACCCCATAAAAAGAAATCTAATGGTGTTAAATCACACGATCTAGGGGGCCAATTCTGATCACCTAAACGAGAGAGTACACGACCTGGAAACGTCTCATGCAGTAACTGAATTGTTTCACGAGCTGTATGGCATGTGGCACCGTCTTGTTGAAACCACATATTGGCCACATCAATATCATCCAATTTCGGCAGAAAGAACTGTGTTATCATGTAGCGATATCGAGCACCAGTAACAGTCACTGCTTGACCAGCCTCATTTTCAAAAAAGTATGGTCCAATGATGCCTCCAGCCCAAAATCCACACCAAACAGTGACACGTTGTGGATGCATTTGTTTTTCGACAATCACATGTGGGTTCTCCGTACCCCAAAAGCGGCAATTTTGGCGATTAACAAAGCCATCAAGATGAAAATGTGCTTCATCGCTTAGGATGATTTTGCTCGAAAAATCAGCATCCATTTGTTGAATAATGAACACACGTTGTTCTATCGTGTAACGCTCCATTTTCACTAACCCTAAACTGTCAGCTGTTAAATTGTTTTTTTTTTGGATTGCCAACACTTTACTGCACAAATGGCGGCAAATTCAAATCTTGCGTTAATTTTGGGACACCCTTTATCTACGAAATTAATAAATCATAAAATTAGTATCGTTTTATCAGTTTCTTATTCCTAATCACTTAAATTTAACAGTCACGCGTACTTCCATAGACACCGACTGTATTTAACAGTATTGGCCGCGGCATTGACTTTTGCATAACATATAATGCATAAGGGACTCAACTAATTGTGAAATTATTCTTTTCTATGGAATGGAAGGAAGAGAAAGATTATGATTAGTTGATTCGCTTATGCACTATGCGTTATGCGTTATGCAAAAGTCTACGCTGCGGCCTTATCTCGTCGGTATCGGTGTCAATGGTGACATCGATTGTAGAGATAAAAAATGTAATTTTTTGCGCCACTGCGGCAATGCGTATATAAGATATTAGCATTACAAGTACGCATACTCATTTATGCAACATTTATATATTAAAAAAGTCATGAATGTAATAATGTATTACTTCGGAAAAATTTCTATGCCAAAGTACGCCAAGAACTATTCCTAAATACGCCAAAAACTATTTTAAAATACGCGGTTTGGAATACGGAAGTAGTTTGGCGTAGAATTCTATTCCTATGCCAAAGATTTACACCTTCCAATACTGATTGGTATACAACAATTTGTTTGCCAGAAGTCATAAATGAATTGCGTAGAACAAACCGAAATCGTCACATCATCCTTCATCATGACAACGCCAGCTGTCACACAGCACGTCAAACCGTTGATTTTTTATCCAGTAATAATGTCGAATTGATGACTCATTGTCCGTATTCACCTGATTTATCACCTAATGACTTCTTTTTGTTCCCAAACATTAAAAATAAGATGCGTGGTGAGGGATTTGAGTCGCCTGAAGCAGCTGTTGAAACATTTCGTATACTGATTTCTGAGGTTACAGTCTTAGAGTGGAAAAAATGCTTCGAAAATTGGTTTGAGCGTATGCAAAAATGTATCTTAAATGGCTTAAAGCCGAATACTTCGAAAAACAATAAATCCATTTACTGAATTTTACATGTTTTTTTTTCATGTTTGCAGAAACTTTTCCAGCAGTCTACGTAGTATATAGAATAAATATATATTTATTTAAATGTGTTTTGTGACGGGTAGCTGGTATCACCTTGTATTGGAAGGCTCGCTCGCCAAGGCGGCTGTAATGATGTCGATTCTCTTTGTTTTAACAATTTGCTTTATTCGTAAGTCGGAATAAAATTGCTTTTGAAGCGGGCAATAGGCAATGCTCGTAATCCGAACTATAGTATGTTCGGTTCGATGCGTGCTTAGTACTCCGATGAAGAAATTTTCAACGCCGTTATAAGACTTAGTATTGCGATAATATCCGCGACCGGCGAATCTCGCCGCAAATTCCCGCAATTCTTTCTCGCACTGATGGTCCTCGCGGTATGCGTATCTCGGAATGTTACGGATTAGAATGCACTGAAGATACGCGACACATCGTTTTGTTCGCACTGAATATTCGGTAATGATCATCGATCGAGATTAGGCAGCGAACTGACGATTCGCACACGGAGCTTCTTGTGCGGGATCGACAGTTTTCGGGATTTACGCAAGGGGGGTCGCGTGCCATTTGAGACAGACAGCGTAATTAGAACAGGAGCGATATGTTTATTTTTGACGGCTCGATGTCGACGAGCTGTTTACTTGCTCCGAGAATATGAAACGTAACGATAATTCCGGAACATACCGCCCGCCTCGAATGAAAGCATTTGAAATAATTCGCATCAAAGCATGCAAAATACAAGAATAGTATAATAACGGAAGTGGTTTAACACAAAGTACAAAAATCGCGACGCAATGCAGTTAAAAATTAAGGTTTCGCGATATTGGTAACATCAGGCACATTTAAATGAAAATCCGCTCGCCATGACGGAATCTTTAGATTCTTCGGAATTGATCATGATAGATAGAAAAGTTTCGCAATTGGTCGGTTATACTCGGAAGGCTCGGAAAACCCTGTTTATAGTGACGATGCGAGTTAAATCGTCACCGCTGGGATGACACGCCGTAATCCGGCCAAATTCCCATTAATTCGGTGGAACCAGAGGTTTACGCATGAGGACGATTTGACCTATTTTAGCCAGTCGCTGGACAATGTGGCACTGTGGGCGTTGTTGAAGAGTATACAAGTAATCACCGGACCAAGATCTCCAAAAACCTTCGGTTATGTGTTGAACCATTTGCCAACGCGAAAGTCGGTTTTCGTTTAAGTTAAGTACGCTTGGTTCGGCGGGAGCGAGAAGCGAGGTTTCGACTAAAAAATGACCGGAGGTTAGCGCGTGATAATCGTCTAGATCTATCGGATACGATAGCGATCGGACCTGCGTATCGACGCCGGTATGGACAAAAGCGCGAGCGATACGGTTGACTCTTGCAGCCGGGAGGTCACCCATGAGTTCGACGGGCACGTCGGCGCGTTCACGCGTGCATGGTATGCACTTATAAAGAACGGATCGAAAGGTGGTGCGAGCTCGGAGAATTCTTGTCGCAATGACGCGAACGTTAATTGAGAACCGGCATGTAACGTTCTAAGATGATGGTGCTGGATAATGAGTATCAATAGCGGGTGCGCGACGATGGGATTCTTCGTCGTTTCTGGGAGACAACTCGACGAAGTTTTCCTCGAATCCGAATAAGTCCATCGTCTATATAAGAATTGAGAACGGAGAGCGGAGAGCTCTTCGATACCAGGCGCTTTTGTTTTAGAGTCGCGATCTCATTAAGAAATATGTTTGACTGCATGGTTTTGAGCCAGTAGCGTTTTGCGTTTTGAATTTCTTCGGAGAGTAAAGTTGCGATATTCATTTGCGAGTTTTTAGAACGTCGGAGTCGACTTAGAAAACAGTAAAGGTACGCGGTAATTCGTAGTAATTTTGGCCACGAAGAGTAGCGAGACGCAAGATCCCACTGGGGAGTGGCGTGCGAGGCGCATACCGGAAGCTCCGGACGTTGTTTGAATATCGGAGGGTACTGAAGGACACGAGTTTGGCCAGGATTCGGAAGGATGTAGCCATGCGGGGCCTGATCACCATAAAACGTGTGTCTTGAAAAGATTGGGAGTGAGACCGCGTGAAGCGCAGTCCGCGGGATTGGTGTGCGTCAGAACATGACGCCAAGAAGGGAGGAGTGATTGGACAGCTGAAACACGATTGGAGACAAAGGTTTTCCATCGGGAAGATGATTGACTCAGCCAGGCGAGTGTAATGGTGGAATCCGTCCAGCAGTGGCACTCGAGGTTAGGGAGTTGGAGCGCTGAGCGCGCGAAATGCATCAAGCGTGCGAGAAGCAACGCAGCGGATTACTCCAATCGCGGGACGCTGATCGTTTTAAGAAGAGTCACTTTTGATTTGGCGGCGAGAAGTGAGGCGGTGGTTGAGCCGTCTATATTGACGGTACGAAGGTATACAGCCGCAGCGAAAGCCGCAGTAGAGGCGTTGGAAAACCCGTGAAGGGCGCAGCGTAAAGTATGAGATCCGTAAGTAGTCCAGCGCGGAGTGCTAATCGCGTTGAGACACGAAAGTTGTTGATAGTAATTAAATCAGCAATCAAAAAGTTGGCTGGGAATGTCGTCATCCCATCGGCATTGCAATGACCACAATTGTTGCATAAAAATTTTAGCGGTAATACTGACGGGAGAAGCCCATCCTAGAGGATCAAAAAATTTGGCGATAGTCGACAGAATGGCTCATTTGTTTCTTGCGGGTGATGACGGTACCGTCACACGGAATTGAAAAATATCTAGCGTAGGATTCCACAGTATTCTTAAAACCTTAAGGTTATCGTCTTGAAGAACTTTATGAGATGTTAAACCATGATCCGTGGGATCAAGATCGGACAACAGAGCGGTGGCGTTGCTTGCCCATTTTCGAAGATGAAAACCTTTAATAACTCTCTCAATTGATCGCGTGTTTGTCGAACAAGAATTTGATCGTCTGCGCCGAAAGCGCAATCATCGACATATGTCTGATGATGTAAAACGGGAACCGCGAGCGGAAATGCGGCACCTTCATCGTCGACGAGTTGATTTAGGACTCGAACGACTAAGTAGGGAGCGGCGGCTGTGCCATAGATAACGGTAAGGAGACGGTAATCCGTGATTGGTTCGTCAGGGTTAGATTGCCATACAATGCGCTGAGGTGTCCCTGGAATTGACTAATATTTGCCGATACATTTTAGCGATATCGGTGGTGAATACGTAACGGTATTGGCGCCACTGCATTATGACAGTGGCTAAATCCTTCTGGAGTTTAGGGGCAATGAGCATATGGTCGTTCAACGATATTCCATTTGGTGCGGCATGAAGCATTGAAGACCACTCGTAAGCGGGTGGTTGCACTGCTATCACGTAAGACAGCATGATGCGAAATGTAATAGTTTTGCTCTGATTTTGTCTGCTGATTTTTGTCTGTGGACTTTTGATAATGTGACCGGAGGTTTCGTAATCTGCGAGAAATTCGCGATATTCGGAAGCATTAATGGGGTCGCGAATTAAGCGTTGTTCCAAGCGGCGAAAGCTCGAAACGGCGGTAGAGCGCGATTCGCCTATCGAGATAGATGGTCCGTTTTTAAACGGTCGTCGAGCGATATAACGTCCTTCCGGCGTACGGAAATGTGTGGCTTTGAAGTGCTCTTCGCACTGATGTTTTTCAGGGCTCTGTGGAGCTTCCTGAAGTACTCGATTTACCAGAAACGACAAAGATCGCGACAAAGAGTCTCAATAATGACTCCGTGATGCGCAAGCGCGAAAATTGACTTAGAAGTCAGAAACGAGGTTACTGGTCCAGACAGAATCCAGCTGAGAGTAGTATTTTGCGCGGTAGACTCATGTCCGGAACCTTTTCGAACACCGTCGAGAACGAGCGTGCGAATAGATCGGCACCGATTATGATCGACTGAATCCGAACTCATGGGGTCACGGTCGGTAAGTCCAAGCTCTGCGACGTGCTTCTAGTACGCAGTCGACTCGATCCGACAAATATTTTGTTAGTGATCGAAGTATAAACGCAGTGGTAGTTGGCAGGTCCGTCGCGATGCGCCGGGGTAATCGTAATTTGCGCAGCGTGACGCATGACGGATTGCATTTCGCTAATGCCGGTAATGCAAACGGAGCGATTAATTCTCGCAAGGCGTAGGCGTTGAGCAAGTGATTCGGAGATAAACGTAGAGATGGATCCCTGCTCGAAGAGCGCGCGAACGGTGATAAAACGGGGCGAATAAACTCGTACGCGCGCCGTAGCGGGCAAGATTTTGGAGCTCGGCGCTACGGTCTTTGACAATAAATGCGTAGCGACGGCGGTGACATTCTCGCTACTCGTTGGTACGGACATCGACGGTAACTTAGCGTCGACAGGCTGAATGGAATGATCGAAATGCAATAATGTGTGATGCCGTTTACTACACTGTCGACACGCGCGAGGATTTGTACAATCTTTCACGGAATGCTTCGTACTGAAACAGTTTACACAGCGTTTCTGGTTTTTAATGAGTTTTTCAAAACGTTGGGACGGAGTTTGCTTTAGGAACGTAGAACATTGATACAATAGATAGTTCGTTTTGCACAATGAGCATACAAACGGAACGATAGACGCAGTATGTAAGGCGAGAGTTTTCTTTTTGGAAGTCGTTTGTGACTTTTCCGTTGCGTTCGCCGATGCAATCGCGTCGAACGCGCGAATACGCAATGCAAGAAATTGATCAAGTTCGCGATAACGCAGGTTATCGCCGAGTTTAAGTTACCAAGCTTTTTGTGATGATTTATCGAGTTTTTGTGACACTAGAAAAACAAGCCAATCATCCCAATGTTCAGTCGCGCAACCGAATTGCTCAGAGCTTGTATCGCTTTGTTGGTTTGATCGCGAAGCATGCGAAGGTCGTTGGAGGTTTCTGTTGTAAGCGACGGTAAATTAGAAAGCGATTGTAAATGTATTGTGTAATGTAAATGAGGCGACGTTTATTATCATACCAGGAAACGAGAATATTCCACGCAATAGCGAAATATTGGCGAGATGGTCTAAGGCGTTACTTGCATCCCCCTTTACACAGGAACACAGATAGTGCATGCGCTCGACGTTCGTTAGATTTTGATGCTCATGGATCATCGATTTGAATTTATCGCGAAAGCTTTCCCATTTGTCAAAACTCGTCGAAAGTCAGCAGGTTGATCCTCGGAAGATACGACGATGACCGAAAAGAGTTATTTAGATCACTTATTTCATGTATAGCGGGACGGGGTTCGCGGGCCTCGTGGCAGTCCAATACCATGTAGTCGGCAGCTTCGTGGTATTAGTCCTCACACGTCAGGAAATAGTGAAGTTCTGGGTGAAGTACGCATGGGTTGCCTTCGACTTTTCGTCCGCAGCTAGCGTGATTTTGCAATCCAGCTCTTGGCATCTGGCAAAGGTCTCCTTGAGGGTTGCGAGACATAGTCGCGTGACAGCACGTGTCATCTTGGCCTGCCCAAGCTTCTTGAAATTTGTGAGCGTGCGAGATATGACGCCCATCTGTTGGTTTTGCATGCTCATCAATTCGTCGAGAGACGACATTGTTTCCAACTGAAAGCACGTTTCGGCAAGATCGAGAATCAAACAAAGGAACAATCACTCTCCTTGGCGACGATCCGGCTCAATGGACCAAAGTATGTTTCGTGACGGGTCGCTGGTGTCACCTTGTATTCGAAGGCTCGCTCGCCAAGGCGGCTGTAATGATATCGATTCTCTTTGTTTTAACAATTTGCTTTATTCGTAAGTTGGAATAAAATTGCTTTTGAAGCGGGCAATAGGCAATGCTCGTAATCCGAACTATAGTATGTTCGGTTCGATGCGTGCTTGGTACTCCGATGAAGAAATTTTCAACGCCGTTATAAGACTTAGTATTGCGATAATATATGCGACCGGCGAATCTCGCTGCAAATTCCCGTAATTCTTTCTCGCACTGATGGTTCTCGCGGTATGCGTATCTCGAAATGTTAGGGATTAGAATGCACTGGAGATACGCGTTTTGTTCGCACTGAATATTCGGTAATGATCATCGATCGAGATTAGGTAGCGAATTGACGATTCGCACACGGAACTTGTGCGCGATCGACAGTTTTCGGGATTTGCGCAAGGGGGGTCGCGTGCCATTTGAGACAGACAGCGTAATTAGAACAGGAGCGATATGTTTATTTTTGACGGCTCGATGTCGACGAGCTGTTTACTTGCTCCGAGAATATGAAACGTAACGATAATTCCGGAACAAAATGTTATTTGAACAAATTAGTTCGAAAAATATTTTTTAATATAAACTATCAAGAATTAAAAAAAAATCTAAATTTATAACAAAATTAATGAATAAAAAGTACATTTGTACACAATAACAGAAATATTTTTGTATTGGAACAATTTATTTAAAAGACATGACATATAAATATGATTTATAAATATGCACAATTATAACTGTATACTAAAAGTATATTTATTTTTAAAATAAATAAACAAATTCAAAGGACTCTTTCAAAACATAATAATAAAACTCAATCAACGGGCGAAGTAAGAGTCCACCACATTTTTTTTTAATTTTCATAAAATTATATATTATATTAACTGCGATGAAACATCACACCAAAAAATTAGACTATAAACTAATAAATTACAAGTTACTGCCGTCAGCAGTGCCTGCATATGGAAGCGACAAATTACCTCGTCTGACCTATTCGATTGCCCCCCAATTTGGAAATCGCGGTACTTCGAGGAGTGACGTGAAGACTCAGACCGTGCAGGCGTGCAAATCCGTGGTCGTAAGACGAGCCACGAAGATGCATGCGCAATCGGGAGTCTGACACTCAAGCTACTTGAAGCTTACGACAACGTGACAACACCCACTGAGCAGATCTGCCATAGCTCTAACGTCAGCGATCAATGTTCAGTTGTGCCATCACTAGCACACGCTTCCAACGAATGTCGCAGTTAATATATAATAATATATTATATAATTTTATAAAAAATTAAAAAAAATGTGGTTGACTCTTACTTCGCCCGTTGATTGAGTTTTGTTATTATATTTATTTTTAAATTAAGAGAAAATATCAAGTAAATCAAATTTTTAATCCCGATAAAACAAAAATTTTATCTCTTAATATTAAAAAAAATTGTTTATATTTTGACATTATAATTTAATGTATTTGAAAAAATATCTTAAACTTATATTTCTTAGCCAAAAGCACTTCTATGCTACGTAATATACTTTATAAAGTATAAATGATCTACACTTATGCAATGGGAAATGCTACATCTTCTTAGATTTTTAATTATATTTATGATTTCATGTACAGATATTATGATGTACAAAGACACGAGCGAGATCGATTATTTACGTTACTAATTAGTCGATCTAATATAAAGTTTTTCGATGAATTGATCCAGTAGAAAAACTTTAAATATCGGTCTCTGTGCAGTAGCTATGGTTAATCGCAACGTCAAATGGGATGCTTTTGAGGAACGCAGACACCTATTTAATTAATAAAAAAATAAATTTCAAAATTAAAAAAATACAAATATCTTATATAATATAAACTTAGTGGTTGAAACACAAAGGGTATAGCAGGATAAGGAGATGATTTCAGGCCCAAGCACGTAATCGATCGCTACAGGGGACAAAATTAACACACCGATGAAAGAATATTTTGTGGAAAGTTTTATCCCAAAAGAGCCACACCGTTTTGAGATATCGAACAAAATGTGATTTTTCATTAGTATTTTTTTTCTCCGTTAAACCTAAACGGATCTTTACAAAAAAAAAATCATGGATATAAAGGATATCGAAAAGATTAGAGTAAGAATTTTTTTGTCATTCTTGGCTCAAAATTCTGTTTTTAAAAAATTCAAGAATTTTGAAATTGCATTTTTTATATGATATGAATGTTTTATCACTTTTAAAATAATTCAGCAGATAAATCCTTATCATAAATTATATTCGTGATTTTTTTCAGATTTTTAGATTTGGTGAAATAAAAAAAAAATTAACTGTTTTTTCGCCATTTTTCGACATAAAATATATAATGTTAGTTTATTATTCATAATATATGAATAATAAAGTTATGAATATACTAACAAAATAAACAAAATAAATGGCGAAAAAGAGTCGTCGCATAATATATATAATTAAAGATAACAGTCAAAGATACATAAAATAAAATAAAAAGTACAACGGCGTATATTAAAATATAAAACAAACAAGTTTCGGCTGCTGGATTGAGCCCTCCTCAGATGTAAAAAGAATATAATATAAAAGACATAAAAGAACATAAAAGAATACAACAGAAAAAGATAATAAATCGATAACATTCAGTGACGCAACATTTTTTAACGCGCGGAAATCAGCAAATGTGATGGATCTCGACGTAGCTTAATGTTGTATGTGCGATGGGGCAATCAAACCGATGTTAAGAAACATAGTCAAGTGCTGACTGAAAAACGGAAAAAGAAGGGAACTCATAAAAGAAGAGTAAACCAAAAAACTTAAAAACTTAAAATCAAAACACGCCGCAGATAAGAAGCCAAGTGCTCACTCACCAACGCATCCGAACAGGAAATGAAAATCGCCGCAATGCATGACAAGTGTGAAAATCCCTGACAATGATAGGGATGTAATCGTCGAAGTCAGACATGTCAACATCGCACATGACACCGAACGCTCGCTAAGACGGCACGCGACGCACTGAGAGAGGAGACGGGTCGACAGGATCGAAAGTCAGACTTTGTTTATTATCGGTAGATATGCCTTATTAAGACCCTCGGTGTCGGTCTGCAAATTGAGACTGTTCTTCTGTTTTTTAATATGTAGCATCTCCGAAATCAAGCGCTTTCTATACGAAGGTTCCTCGTCTAATATCAGAACATTGTCCCATTGAAAATCGTGATTGTGACTCAACCTATGATCGGTGATGACAGAGCGGGCAGATGTTTTGTGTCTAATATGATTACGATGTTCGGCAATCCTAGTTTTTAATTGTCTGCCCGTCTGTCCAACGTAAGAAGCGTCACAATCATTACACAGAATTTTATAAACAACGTTGCTTTTCGAAGTGCTGGGACAAGAATCCTTCTGGACTCTTATATATTTGCCCATTTTGTTGGGGCTGCGGAAGGCCACCCTGATATCACTTTTGCTTTTATTCAAAGATCTAAGTTTCTCTGTATGAAGCGGAATGAAAGGTACCGTAAGCCAAGAAGCAGGTTTATTAGTTAAGTCAATGTCAGTCTCGGTATCGTGTAACCTGTGTCTATTTCTAATCAAATTTTTGATCCTATGATTGATGGAGTCAAAGATAAAATCTAGTGGATAGTCATTCAGAAGTAAAATGTCAATGATGGAGGTCAAATTTTTTGTGTGAAACTTAACGTCGGATAATAAAAAGGCTCTGTCGACTAATGAAAAGATGGTTCCTTTCTTCTGCGTCAATGGATGATTAGAGTGGAAGTTTAAGAATCTACCTGAAAACGTTGGCTTACGGTACCAATCGAAATTAAAGCGATTATTGTCGACAGACACAGTGACGTCCAAGAAATTGATCGTTTTTCCGCCTCTCTCTACGGTAAACTGTAGGCGCGGATGGAATGCATTAAATCTCTCTAATAGCACGTCGATCTGAGAGGGGGGCAACGCAGTACATATGTCGTCAACGTATCTATAATAGAACAGAATGTCCAAATTTACAGACATCAAGGACACCGTCTCCAATCTCCTCAACACTAGGTCCGCAATCACCGGCGATAATGGAGAGCCCATGGGGGTGCCAAAGCTCTGCCTGTAAAAAACATTGTCAAAGACAAAAAACGAAGAGTCCAGGACAAACCGTATTGCTCCCAAAAATTCTCTCTTAGGTAGAGAGCAATCCCCAGAAACCGCCGGCCAATGTTCGTTAACGCAATCGATCGCCACCTCCGTTGGCACGTTCGTGAACAGAGAGGTAACGTCCAAAGACGTCAACTCATGTGTCCCCGTAAAGTGCACATCCCTCAGCCTTTCGACCAGTTCAAAGCTGTTTTTTATATAACTGTCAGCTCTCGGGATGGCTTTAAATAATTTCTTGTGTAGAAAAGTAGCCAAAGGATGCAGCGGACTGCCCACCGATGACACTATTATTCTAAGGGGACAATCAGGCTTGTGAATCTTTGGCAGCCCTCGGGAGAGAACCATCGCTGCAGTACAAAGCTTTATACTCAGAGTCCTTGATGTGACCTCTGGTCTTCCACCCAGTGAGCATAGACCTCAAGGCTGATGTAAGCTTTTTGGTCGGATCTCTTTTAATAGGGACATACGTGTCTGAGTCCCCCAATAACTCGGTCATCTTGTCTCTGTAAACGTCCCTATCCATGGCCACAGTCTTTTATACTGTATTATATTCTTTTTACATCTGAGGAGGGCTCAATCCAGCAGCCGAAACTTGTTTGTTTTATATTTTAATATACGCCGTTGTACTTTTTATTTTATTTTATGTATCTTTGACTGTTATCTTTAATTATATATATTATGCGACGACTCTTTTTCGCCATTTATTTTGTTTATTTTGTTTATACATAAAGAGTTTTTACACCGTTGTTATTTATGAATATACTATTATGAATAATAGTACCTTATAATATTAGTAACAGAATACTTTTAAACATACATGAAAGACACAGGTCAAAAATTTTTAACAATTTCAAACTAATGTCGTCCCTGAGACCGAGTGTCGCGCGCTACGACAAAACAGTAATGAAGTGAGAAGTAGGAATGATAATAGATGTGAATACTGACACATTTTGATTTGAAGCCAAAAACATCGACTTTTTTACATTGTCGTACCTTTGCATCGAACCGCCGAATGAAAATATTTGTGACAGCTAGTATAAGTTGACTAAAAGTCGCGTTACGATTCCTTTTTGTCAATGATATCAAGCATACTGCATAAGGTAAATGAATGTACAGTAATCCCGTTCAATTGTCACCTGCGTAAATTGACTGAAACTGTCCCCGTGACATTTGAGATAGTCTATTTGTTTTCTTGAAGATCTTGCAATTGTGTTCAAAGTTATTTAAACACAAGAATTAACAATATTTTACCATTTAAGTTTTTCAAACTATACTTTTCAGTTTCTATTGAGGATTTTCATTTAACACCGACACTCATTGTCAGTCAGATTATAGCACTTATTCCATTATTCATTGTTATAGAAGAGCAATTATCTATGAGGTAATATTTTATTTTTTTAATAAAAATTTTTTTGCCATTTCTGGTACATTTTTCAATAACTACTGTTACCTAACACTATTATCACACTATTATTTAAATAGTTATTATTAAATATGTTTTAATAGTATTTCAAAGTTTTTACGCGATACGTAGGCTGCTGGAAAAATTTTTGCAATCTAGTACTTCCAGTGGCGCCAACGTTCTGCTACTATCATATCCGTAAAATTAGACGTTTTTAACCTATAATTCAATTGACAGTTTGTACCCAAGCCAACTAGTTTTGTTTGCATAGTATTTTAAAAGAAGTTATTTTGTAAGAAAATTTGTAAGGAAATTTCGCGTGAAAATTTTCGGGCAATGATTTTTTACGATTACAAATGTAATCTAACTCCGAAACAATGTATCGATCGACTTCATTTGGCTTTTGGGGATGAAGCACCATCCAATAGAACTGTTTATAATTGGTTTGCCGAATTCCAGCGTGGACGTACTTTTCTTAGTGATTAATTCCGTGAAGGTCGTCCATCCACGTCTGTTGTTGCCACTAATGTTGATGCTGTGCGTGAAATGATTGAGCGAGACCGGCATATAACATACCGCGACATTCAGGCATCCTTAGGCATTGACATGAAAGCAATACATATGATTTTGCATGATCACTTGAGCGTACGGAAACTTTGCAGTCGTTGGATTCCACACAATTTGACTGAAGCTCAAAAACAGGTGTTAAATGGAGCAAAGAAATGCTCAAGAAATTCAACCGAGGTCGGTCAAATTTAATCTACAACATCGTTACTGGGGACGAAACATGAATCTATTCGTATGAGCCCGAAAGTAAACAACAATCCACTTTTTGGGTATTTCAAAATGAACCGAAACCAACAAAAGTTGTTCGTTCACGCAGTGCTGCCAAGCAAATGATTGCTTGTTTCTTCAGTTATACCGGACATGTGACAACCGTGGCTTTAGAGGATCAGAGGACTGTAAATACTGATTGTATATACAACAATTTGTTTCCATAAGTCATAAATGAATTGCGTAGAACAAACCGAAATCGTCGCATCATCCTTCATCATGACAACGCCAGCTGTCACACAGCATGTCAAACCGTTGATTTTTTATCCAGTAATAATATCGAATTAATGACTCATTGTCCGTATTCACCTGATTTATCACCTAATGACTTCTTTTTCTTCCCAAACATTAAAAATAAGATGCGTGATAAGCGATTTGAGTCGCCTGAAGCAGCTGTTGAAACATTTCGTACACTGATTTCTGAGGTTCCATCCTTAGAGTGGAAAAGATGCTTCGAAAATTGGTTCGAGCGTATGCGAAAATGTATCGATTTTAAAGGCGAATACTTCGTAAAACAATAAAGCCATTTACCGAATTTTACATGGTTTTTTTCATATTGTTTGCAGAAACTTTTCCAACAGCCTACGTATTACTGATCTGGAGACACGGTAGTGGCGCTAAGACAACCCTAATGTCATAGTATATTCATACGTGTAATATGTTAAATTTACGTGTATTATAATATATCAATAAACACACACTAAAAATTACTCATGCTGTGATATTCATGCAGATATTCTCTGTGTCCATTTTTATGCAATATTAGAGTTTTATATTATAATATATAATGTGTATAATGATATATATAAAATTTAATTCTAACGTTGTACTCGTACTGTTGCGCGGCAACGGCATTATGAACGCGAGTCATACTGGTTACAGCTGATTGGCTCGTATAACGCCGTGTATGTGTTTTTTACGCGTACAGCGTCACGCAAAAATGTAGATATATACACACATACATACAAAAAATTTCACTTCTCACGTTTTCACTCTAGGAAAAAAGATACATAATCGATATCATGGTCACATTATCTTCATTCTAGCGACTAAGAAAAGGCGTTCATCTGGATCCACGTAATTGCAAAAACTCTCTATTAGCTTTGAAGTTTTATTATTGATACGTCATTTAAGTGCATTCTCTAGGTTTATTCCACTAAAGAAAAATACAAACAGATGACCAGATATATGACGCGGTAAAGTAAAATTCTAGATTGCATTCTGGCACGCTATAATTTTATAAAAAATATATTTGGAGTAATATGTTTATTAATAATGTTATTTATTAAAAAAAAATTATGAAAAAAGGGAAAAGCAGGATCGAACATAAGATCTTCAACATTCTGATCTCGCACCTAA